GAGACCTAATGAAGGGGCCATTAGGGTGATAAAAATTTTGAAAGGGAAAATTGGTGTGTATCAAATCTAGTTTATCTATCTTAACCCTAAAAAGGGAATGTGTGTTCATATATTAATCTTCTTGAACAGATATCTACTGCTAGGAGAGATAATTGAAGACAATAACTATACAAGGATCAATAGGGGAGAGGATTCTGCTCACATCTTAAAAGGACTTTGCAAGAGAGGGAAAATGGTAATTCATTATAGAATCGACACTTGAAACCATGCTATTACTACCATTTCTTTATCATTCAGTTGAATACTTTTCAAGAACTTCATCGGTTGAGAGTACAATATCTGTTTCTTAGTTGCTTTCAGTACTTTCATGTTATGATTCTTATGTCTTCCAGTTTCGATTCTATATCTTGCCTTACCCTACTTATGTTAGGTCTTCTTTTAATGTTCTTCCAAGTAATCAGACAAGTCAAAAGGGTTTTCGAGAGAATCTAGAACTGGGGTTGAAGAGAGTTGAGGAGGGAGGGCTATGGAGATGGGAATACGAGATATGGAATCTTTGTTATCCAGAGAATCTGTCCTTACTTATCTATTGTGATAACCTCTCTAGAAAAGAAATCTTGGTTTTTTTGGCATGCACCTTTACTGGCCTTAATAAATGTTGCTCTTGAAGTAATACCATCTTGGAGAAGTTGATCCACTATGCCATCTATATCAGCAACTCCTGCTGGTGATTTCATTTTTGATTGATACTAATGATCCCGAGGAATCTTCCAGTCTCCCAGTTTTTAGGCTTATATAATTAGGAGATACACTTTCAAGACTTTGCCTTCATTCTATATCTTCTTGAGCATCTTATTCTTTTTATTTTCCTAAGTGACAGTAGATAATTTTCTTAAAGATTATTCTCTTTCTTGATATCCAATGACGTGTTTGGAGACAATATCTGATGAGACATGTGAAGTAACCAATGGGAGCTTGTTTATATTCTTTTATTAATGTGAGCTCTATTTGTCCAATCACGGTGTGAGAAATTTTGTACTACTCAAAATTCAAGGTCAAATTGAGATAGGCAAAATCCCCTAGAAAAAAAAACCAAGAACAAGCACTATGAGAAGTAGACATAATGACAAGAGAGTAGGGAAGTTGTTTCTCATTATTCACAGACTTCTGTGGTATTTCTTTACAGTGTGAGATGATGGCACATTAATTCTTCTTTCTTTTGAAACTTTCTTGCCATTGGTAGAAAAGGTTTTTCTTGATCTTTAAGGTCACTAGAGATCAAGTTTTTGTTTAAAGAGAATAGTAAACAAGAGAAGAGAAAATAGTTGATGACTCTTGAAGCTTCTTCAAGTTGGTTTAAAAAAAGTGATAAGACTTTATTAACATAGAAGTATAAAAACTTTTTGCGAACATCTTTTTTATGTGTGGTCAGAGGATTAGCGGAAAGAGTCTTTTTGCTTGCTTATCTATTTATTATATAGAACCTTTATTTATATTTTGCTTTGATAAATAGATTTTCAATTTTATAATATTAATCTTTTTTTCTTTTAAAACTTTTTTATTATTGATAGAAAGATATAGATTTTACTTTTTTTGAATAATTAAAAGTCAAGTTTTTATATAAAAAGAAATATAAATAAAAAAAAATATGTATTATTTTTAAGATTATTTCTTAATAGTTTTAAGAAAGATAATAAGACTTTTTTGATAAAAAAATATAAACGTTCTTATGAATATTATTTTCTATATATGGTTAGATGATCAATAAAAAAAGATTAACTTTATTTAATACTAAATTTTATTATAATAGTTTTTTTTTTACTAGTCCAACTGATAAAACAAATCTTTATTGAGGAATCAATAGATATTTTTAATTACATGAGCTATTTACATAACTATTATTTAAACTACCTATCCTAACCAAATTTACCAATTTTACTACTATATATAGTAATACCATTTTTGTTAGTTGCCTTGCTCTGTCTAGGCTATATAGTATTCTGAAGATCCACTATTGGACTTTTATTTTTATCAGAGGGCTTGATATGTGTTCCATTGATGTGGACTTGTTTAATTTCTGAATGCTATGAGTCTTTTGTTTAATTCTTATCATATTCAATCTTTAACAAGCTAGTAAAACTTCTTAATGAATACAGGTTTTCAGTTATATTCTTGATATTTAGATGATCCAATAGTGGCATATAATTGGGTGACATATAACCTTTCATTGTTTTATTTTAATCACTTTTGCAAGTTGGTCTACTAAGGTTTTTCTTGATTAAACGAGACTCAACCTTTTCCAAATAGATCAGCCTTGGTGATTCCCAATATAGTATTAATATTTATCACCAGCCTTTGCAATAACTGTTTTTTTTAATAGCCATGATTTTAGGATCATAGAGATTTTCTATTAATTATTGTTATAGCCTATTACATTTCGACAGGTACAAATGACCAAAGTCTTACTTATCTTTCATAGTATGTAGTTTTGATAAAAGATAAATGTTCTTTTCATATTTATTAAGAGACTTGGACCAATCAGAGATTTTCTTGACTTGTTTTTGGAATTTTTACATATTTCAGATGACAGGATTTGTAGAATTCTTTTGACATCAAAACCAGTCAAAGTTGTATGCCCTGATTATATTATAATCAAATAGTATAAATTCTATAGATCATATTGTATACAAGTGTATATATGGTTGATGAGCATGCATCTTGTGCAATGTGACCTATATTGCGAAACTGTTCTAGGATGGAATTGAACCAATAATTCGTGGGTAGTGACCTGAAAGTATACTCACTATGCCATTGATCCACAGGTTCAAATTTTATTATAATAGTATAATTTTTTTTTAATTTATTTAAGATAATAAATAATTATTAAAATTTTTTATACAGTATATCAATTATATTATTTTTTTTATAAAGTTAAAATATTTTAACAAATTTATTATTATATGTAACTCTTAAAAAATTAATATATTAATTATATTATTTTTTATTAAGTTTGAATTTTTTGATAAATTTATTATGAATTTAGTACTTAAAAATATAAAATTTTTAATTTATATATTAAAAACAAAAAGACTTTAATTTTAAGATTTTTGTAAATACTGGATTATGAATAACTATACTCTAATAATAATATAGCTTTAACTTTAATAATAATATAATTGTATTCTAATAATAATATAATTAATTATAAATATATATTTTATAAAACGATGGCACTTGATTTCGCACAGTACGGTATATACAGTGTATAAATTTTTTTGTTTTTTATAGTTTATAGTTCCAATTTGTAAAATAACACAAGCATTAAAATTTAAATTTTGAATATAATATTATAACAAAAATTCAATCGGTTGAAAATATGTGTAATGATTTTTAGTATACAAAGATATTTGTTTATTTAGATTTGTAACGTTATGTAATATTGAACTTACCATCTTGAATACATCCTTTTAATTAGTAAACAATGAATTATATTGTAAAGCCTTATCACAAAAATATTTATTATAACGGAGAAGGAAAAAATATTTCCTTACATGAAATTATTTTTAATTTTTATTGGAAAATTAGAGTAGGTGGTAATTGTTTAATGGCCTGGGACCATTAAATATGTGATTACATGATCATGATAATAGTGAAGGGGAAAGCAATCTAACCAATTATTAAAAAATAATACATAATTGCGTAGAAATGACAACAATCATCTACCATAAATTCCGAGTAAAAGTTTGTTCTACTAACGCATTTAAATATTCATCAAATGTTGAAATTAGTACGTAATCATCTATTTTAAAACAGCAGGTATGGGACATTTTTAACGGAAAAAGTGCGCGTGTAACAACAGTATTAATATGAAGCTCGGGAAATCTGTAGAAGGTTAAATTAACGCAATAAAAATCTGATTTTCGAATTCTGATAGCATATAGAATCGTCTTATCCTTGATCCTCGATTACTTTTTACGGGTTAAAGGGTGATAACGCCCAAAATTTTCGATAGATTTCATAGAAAATTAAGAGAAAAAGTGAATGTAAATCTTATTTGAGTAACAAAATTTCGATCTCATTTACGCCTGTATTTCAGAATGATGTCGTAATCAATCAGATGCATTTCCCCTTTCAATTAGGATGGGAAAATTTTAGAATACCAAGAAACAGAAATGCTGAATTTCTGAGATATATATTCCATTACGTATGCGCATGCGTGATTGAAATAAGCACTTATCGTTATTAAATAAATGTTTCACGGCCATCTTTCTATTGTCCAACTTTTTTGTAATATAATGCTAGTTTAAAATTACCATCTTGAAAATATGGACTGGGTTATCATCTCGATTCTGGATTGTTACAATCAGAACTACTGTATTCAGATTAAAAGTATATGCTAACAGACCACAAGGTGGTTTCTTTCGACTTAAATATCGAATTTAGATTCATCGATATTTAATTAGCATAAAAAAAAAAAGTGAAATTAAAAAACGTACATAAATAAAGAATGCTGTGACACAGTAGTAAGGTCAACAATCCATGGCATCATTTATACAATTGATGATTCATAATCGGTATTACCCAATAAAAGAATTACTTTTCTTTGTCCCTCAAAAAATTGAAATTCGACAAATTTGGGTACGCGATATGATAAAAACCTCTACATAAACCTGTTAAATTCTCGGATAAATATTTGACACTGTTTTCTTGTTCTTTTTGACCTTTTTTTTTTTTCTTATCTTTTTTTTCTTTTTGGAATCCATAATCCATTTTCTGTTCGAGTTGTATTCTTCTTTATGGACCTCTGCCCCATTCTTATCTCATCTGAGCAGAAGAAGAAACATCCGTGCATTTTTATTTAAAGGCATAACGATTATCAACAAGGTAAGGTGCCTAATCAAAGTTGGGTCTCATTTATTCGTGATCACCTCTTTAATTTTATACTCTTTCCTTGCCGAAAGTCAAAACACTGGTTTCGTTGCGTATTTCATCACTCGAATATGACCTTCAACCCTTCTGTTCCCGAAAGTGTTTTGCCCCCTATAATGATTCCTTCGGTCTCGCCAAATATTACTCCTGTTTTACCACCTGTGTCACGTCTTGCCCCTCAAATACTTCGAACTCTTCCCACAAATCCTTGTGACGTAAACCTTATACCATCACCAATGCACGTTCCACACACATATGGCCATTCGACGCCGGCT